ATCTATCTATCTATCTATCTATCTATCTATCTATCTATCTATCTATCTATCTATCTATCTATCTATCTATCTATCTATCTATCTATGGCATCATGAACTGATGTAACACTTTTTTACAGTATTCAGCTAAAGTCAGCTGTAAATGAACCAGTTTTTTGGAAATAGTATCTTGTTTTGAGTTATTATTACTTAGCTGGACAATTTCAAACAATAATTTCTCCTTTTTTACCTAAAAAAAATAACTGAAGTATGAAAAAAACTTAAACTAGAACAAGAACAAATGAAAACTATAGTAAAAGTAATAATTTCTTAAATACCAATTAACTGATCTAAAGGGCAATATGATCACAACTAAATAAGAGTAAACAAGAATAAAAAAAAAATCCAAACTATAATAAAATCGCACCTAGATTATAAGACACTAACCTCTAAATGTAATATCTCTTTGTCACCCAATGCATATATTTCACTTGGCTTTAAATTAGTTTTGTTAATAAATTGTTATAAATGGAATAGAAGTTGTGTTTTTTTTTTCCTGTATGTGTGCAGGGTTAACTGTTTGATATGAAATGATTTTCTCCAAATAGCAGGCCAAACTTTATCTTTCGAGTGGAAACTTTGCAACCGAGGCATCAGTGGGAAGCCAACCTGTGCTTTCATAACAATAATAATTAAACTTTATTGATCTCACGTTGGAGAAATTTACCACTGCATTTTGACCCATTCCCTTGGGGAGCAGTGGGCTGCCATTGTGTGGCGCCTGGGGAGCAGTGTGGGGTTAAGGATTTTGCTCAGGAACCCAGAGTGGAGGCTGTGGGATTCGAACCGGATGCTTGCAACCTTCTCAGAGCACAAGCGTACCGCTCTAATTACTAGACCAACACTCCCCCCAGTGTACGCAACCCAAAAACACTCTGGTCTTATTTCTCTCTTCTGAGGCCTTTCTTTTCTTCTCATACACTTCATAGACACTTTTTCTCTTATGATCCTCGGCCATTTTCAAAGAAAGGTTGTTAGAAAGGCGAGATTCCATGACCAGCTGAAACCGTAGCTCACCACATAAAAGTGTGCATGCACAGAAAAATATATCTAACTGAGGAAAAGCACGTAGGACGGCCTTACATAAACATATCACCAGAAGGATTGACAATTAGGAGGACCAATTATTTAGATGATCTACCAGGAAAAAGAACGTAATCTACTGTACCTTTAATTTAAAAATATTGTTTGATTAAAATGTTTTTCAAAGTTTCGTTTCTTGGTTACATTTTTCTCAACTTTTCATTCACAAAATGTATTTGTCAGGATTCCTGTCGGTGTGTTTGTGTTTCTGTGTTTGTCTCCCTTCCTCCACCAGGAGGCGCCTGGTT